AAAATTACTTAAGAAAACGTTTAAAGCAAGAGTGAAATGAGGAGGTGTAACCAAAGCCCCTTAACATACATACTAACTCGCTGAATAATAGTTGCTTAATATTGGAGTATACAAGTCAAGCCACTTATAAACGTTTCATATTATTTTATTGCCAGCAATTACTGCAGCAGTTTGTCTTATATGAGGGTTAGTGCCCCATACGTTCATTAATCCAACATGAAAAAGAAAACCAGAAGCATTAATATACAACACACCAACAAGTGAAAGAAAAGCTTTTAAAGATTTCACTTGCAGGTTTACAAATACCTACAGGTGCACCAATACATCGGTTCATATCGTATCAGCACCGATAAAAGGAAAATTGACACTGATGGCAATCGGCGTTTTTTGGCAGATATGACCAGAGTCAGATAAACGCTGCGTGCATGCGCACAGCCACAGCATGCACATGGTCAAGAGTACAGCCCAGCAGCTTGGAGAGTAGTATCCGGCTGGTAAGCCTGTGGGGAGGTGGCAGATCGAGGCCCCCACAGTGAGAGAGGGAACAGGGCTGGGGTAGGGGCAGGTGCTGCCCAGCAGTGGCTGAGTGGGGCACAGAACAGAGCTGTGGATGGCTCGCCCAGGGCAGCAGGAGAGTGGGGCGACTCCCACTGATGTGGGCACCCCCTGGGGGGGGGCAGGGATGTGTCCTCCGGATTTGTGTGCAGGGTGAGGTTGGGCTACCCTTTGCAAGCTTGGGGCCAGGGGCTGTGCTGGGCTCTTTCCGGTGGGCAGCTGGGCCGGATCAGGGTGGGTAGCAGTGGCACTAGGAGGGGGGTTACGGCAAATTTTGGGGTGGTTGCAGCACCTGCCCTGTAACCCTCCTCCCAGCACTGCCACTGCCCACCCCGCCGCCCCCAGTACTGCCTCAGCCCAGGCCCACTGCTGCCAAGAAGAGGCTGCAGCAGGCAGCCTGCCCTCACCCTGCACACAAATTCAGGGGGTACCTGCCCCATATACATCTTCCAGGGTGTGCCCCACCCCCCTGCACCCTCTGGATGAGCCGACTGTGGCTCCGTCCTGCGCCCCACTCTGCCCCAGCTGGGTAGCATCTGCTGCTGCCCCAGCCCCACTCCCTCCCTCATCAAGAGGGTCCCGATCTGCCCTACCCAACTCCCCTTCCCCTCCACAGACTTACAGGTCGGACACATCTCTCCACGCTGCCGGGCTGCATATCCGCAATCGGGTTGGTATTGGCTGATATAGCTGGTTAATATTAATAACTGGCTATCAGTACTGGCCAAAATTTTTTTTAATCAGTGCACCCCTACAAATAGCTTTATATTCTGCATTCATTTTCAAAACCCTAGAACTATACAGCTTATATACAATCTAACTTTGAACAGTCAAGTTTGAAACAGCTGGGTTACTCTAAGGAAACATTTCAGAACTTGCATCTTATTAAATTTAGTGGTAGTGAACATATGGAAACCAGAACACACATTACCTGTTACACCAAGAGGTAAACTAGGCACTTCAGCATCCTCTTCATTCAGGTCTTCCTCTCCAGAATCATGTGCATTTTCTTCTACTTCCGGAGCTTTACTGTTTTCTTCATCTTCTGCAGTCTGCTGTTCTTCAGTCTTTATCTTTTTTGTTGCTGTGCCTACAAGATTATTTAAAGAGAATGAATATACCGAACAAGTCTACCGTGCTCATAAAACTAGAGATGCAAAGAATATAAATACATTTGTGCTGTGAAATTCATTTCCTTAATAAACAGATCCCTCTTACGAGGTTTCCATGCCTCCAAATTTCCCAACATGGTTTAGTCCCTGGCCATCCACAGGCTTATACCTGTACTTAAAATTAGGTATCCAAGGACTCTCCTAGACCTCAGTACAAATCTTTGCAATATCAAGCCTAAGCTTGTAGCATAGACAGGACCAGAGATTATTGATGGGACAGAAAGACAAGCTTTAAAGGTAACTCCCTGCTTAGATGGAATAATTTACAACAGTAGTCATTCTGCTGCAGCCTGCTAAAACCAACAGTCAGTTCCATTCAGATTTATATTCCCAACCAGAAGGGATAAAAACCTCTCCTCTAAAAGTTAAGTTTCTTCCCTTCCTTTCAATAGCAGATGAGTGCATTCAGTGAGCAATGTCTGTAGTATACTACTTCTACTTTAAACTTCAAATAGAGTACAATATAAGCTATTAAAAGTTGAAGAAAGGTGTTTCTAAATAAAAAAAAATATCAATAGATAGCCTACTGTAGAAATCAAACAGGAAACAAAAGTTCCATTTCTACACAATTTTTTAAAAAGTTTTCTAAGAGAGCATATAAAACCCCTTTTCAAGAAATTAAAAACAAAATATGTTTAAAAGAACCAAATAGGCCGGTATTGTTTTTCATACACTTTTTTTTGGCATATAGATCTTGCAGTTAGAAGAAAAACAGCTGTATAACACCATGTTAATCACCTGCTATTAATACATCATATTTACATGTTAGTATCAAAATGAATATTCTAAGGGTTATTTCCCTTAAATGAGTATATAATTTATTACATCTGCACTTAGCCAACTTGTATTTCATTAAAAGTAATTTGATGCATTAAATTCTGAGATGCAAAACTCTAAAGTAACAGTCATTAAATTCTGCTACAGAGTTTTCATGTGGGGAAAGATGTAAACAACTATAAAACTGTAAGGTTCAATTTCTCAAGTACTTTTACAGAAATTTTGTCCAATTTGATTTAAAAACATCTCATGTGGTAGGTCTTGCAATACAGATTTGAGATAGAGATATTTTTGTTAAAGTTTCAGTCTTTTAAGAGTAGTACTGCCTTGCAACTCTATTAACCAGAGAATCTTGAAGTACAAATGAAAGGATTACTCAGGTTGTAAGTTCAGGGCAAATCAGCAGCAGAAATCAACTGTTATACAGCATTGGCATTTGGGCCTGCGAATACTATGCCTGTCTTTTTAAAGAATTAAAACTACTTTTTAGGTCTGAGACTAGTGCTATCGAGGCTACTTCAGTGTTGTGCATTTAAACCAAATCCTCTATTACCTAGCCTCATTAAGATCTGAGAAACAGCAGAGTCTAGCAAGGACTAAGCATTGCCATTAAAGAATTCCTATGTTTTGATGCTAGGTAAGAAAATCAGTAGTCCCATCTCTCAGCAGATTTTCCTGTCTTTTCCAACTATGCATATTTTAAATGTTCAAGAGAGGCTACAACAATAAATCTACTATGATTTAGCAGAATTGCATCTGCATTCCAGGGCATATAGAAACTAATTATATTCAGCTTCTTTGTACACCTGACTCTTCAAAACTTGGTTAAATAAAACCAACAAACCAAACCAGAGTATCTCAGCAAATATTCAGAAATTCATCTCCAACTTTCATGTACCACTTCTCTTGCTACACAACAGCAGGGTCTGGCACACAGCTCAGATGAAACTTGTCAAATCTCAGCACTCCCTATAAGAATCGCTCTATGAATCCTTCCAGTTCTCTGCACAGCTGTAGGAATTGTGGCAAGACTACACGCACCAGCAGTTTATTGGAGGGAATGCAGAGATGGATATGGATAGAGCAATTCCCAACCTTCTTGAGCCGAAGGCACGCTTACATTAATAAAATTTTTCTGTGGCACATCTGTTAAGGCATTCCCCATCCTCATACTTATAGTAGCTCATTCCCATGGCCAAATTACGCAGCACACCTGTTCATTTCTAACAGCACACTTTAGTGCCCTGGCACACTGGTTGGGAAACACTGGGATAAAGGAAGAAAAAGAAACAGTCCAAAAATAAGCCGGTGGTGTCCTTAGGGGAAGGCAAATCAGGAGCCCCCACTTTAGAGGCCCCTAAAATTTTGCAACAATTTTTTTTTGGAGGGGGGTGGTTTTTGCAAGGAAGTGGCTCTATTTGCATTTTAACACTTGACTATTTATCTACTTCCCCCAAAGAATATTAAAAAGATCCACTATACAACTGTTATAGTTCCTTCAAATTAAGCCTCTAAGGGGCCCCAAATAGGGTGGCCATCATAGAGGACAGTCCAGTTGTCCTTTGTTCTCTATTGACACGAAACCAGATGCCTTCACAGCCTCTATTTTTCTCCTGACTGGTTCCTTAACTGTGTTTTTCTCTTGAAGACAAAAATAGAGGCCATAAAGCCATTGAGTTTCTTATCAAAAGATGACAAGAGTAGCAGAAAACCAGACTGTCCTCTAGGATGGCCACCCGAGCCCTAAATGACTCTCTTGCCCAGGGCCCCAACAACCCTAAGGCCACCGCTAAATAAGCATAGGCCATAACTACGAAAATAACCTTAAAAAAAAAAAATGAAAACATACAATTTTCCGAGTTGCTCATTTGCCTTTTCTTCTTTTTCTTCCTTGACTCGGGCTTCTGCCTCTCTGCCGTTTGTCTGTTGCTGGACACTGACTGCAGCTGCTTTTCCTCCTCTGCTTCCACCTCTGCCATTTCTTCCGAAACGGCCTCGTCTGTCACTTCCTCTGGGTCGCCTGCCTCCACTGCCAAAGGAACAAAGCAACACAAACATATGTCTAAAGAGCAAATCCATCTGATGCAATGGTAAAAATACCACCCCCCGCCGCAAAAAAAATCCTCCAATCCCTCGCTCCCTCTCTCCCACCCCCCCAACAAAACCCAGTATTTTCAGAGTTACAGAAAAAGCAGGGCTGGAAATTGGGTGGTGAGGAAGAAGTGCCACGGCCATGACCACCGCTCTCCAGCTCCCCAAATTTCTGCTTCCCCGAGCACCAGAGCGGGGGGTAGGCAGGCCGCTTGTAACCACCCGTGCCCCGCCTGGCCTCCGCGCCCGGCCTCAGCCTCCCCATCCCCGCGGGGCCGCTACCAAGGTGCCGGGCCGCCAGCAGCTTGAGGTTTCGCTGGCGCAGCTTGAGATTACGCTTCTGGATCTTCTTGCGCAGCAGCCGCATGGGCAGCGTCCCGCTCGCCGCCATCGCCATCTCTGCCGGACGCACGAGGGCTAGGAACCGGAAGCGGAAGTGGAGCCGGAAGCGCCCCTCGCCGCGCGGCTGCAGCGGCCTCCAGCGGCGCGGAGGAGGCAGCGCGGCGGCGGCGCCTGCAGGTTTAGGAGAGGGTGGGGTTTTCTAGGGTGGCTGCTCCCAGCACCCAGCAGGGGGGTGACATGCCGGTGGGAGGGCCCCATCCAGCCCAGCCCCAATGAAAACTCTTCCTAAAATAGCCAGACAGGGCCAGGGAAAGCGGGGCAGCCCGCTCGAGAGATGCCAGGCAGAGGAAGACAGTCCCTGCCCAGGCTGTGCCAGTGGGATCAGGTGGGTGAAAGTCCTCCCTGACCCCAAATCTGGCTGCCGGTCTGATCCCGAGTGGAGGGGCGAGACGGTCCGGGTTTGGTGTCAGCTGCAGCATTGGTGCAGCCCAGGCAATGCCTGCGAGGGAGGCTTAAAGACACCCTGACACGTATAACCAAGGTGTGGCAGGGCAAAAGTCTCAGAGAAGCAACTCTCTTTGTATTCGATACCTCTTACTTGGCTGCATTTACACCCCGGAGAGGGAAAATGCATGTGTGCACATAACCCGCTGTACACATGCATTGAGCCATGCCATGGGGACCCGTGCACACAATGCAGTCGCGCACAGTTCACACCAGGACACACGCTGAAGTCACACACAGTTCGCACCAGGAAACATGCAGTCACGCACAGTTCACACCAGGAAACACGCTGCAGTCACGCACAGTTCACACCAGGACACACACTGCAGTCACGCACAGTTCACACCAGGAAACATGCTGAAGTCACGCGCAGTTTGCACCAGGAAACACGCTGCAGTCACGCACAGTTCACACCAGGAAACACGCTGCAGTCACGCACAGTTCACACCAGGACACACACTGCAGTCACGCACAGTTCACACCAGGAAACATGCTGCAGTCACGCACAGTTCACACCAGGACACATGCTGCAGTCAGGTGCAGTTCACATCAGGCCACCGTGCCTGTACCGGATTCCTGACAGCACTGCACCGTGGAGATATGTCCAGGCAATCCTCAACTTACAAGGTTTTGAGTTGCAAGGAACAGTGCTGACAGCGTTTATAAATCGACACCCTGTTTTGACTTTCTGAGGTCAGTTTCCACGTGATGATGCTTGACTGAACACGAGGACACGCCAGCAAGCAAGTTTGCTGCATCGCCCATCTCTCCCCAGAGAACATCTGTCCAAACTTCCTAGGGCACTTTCTCTAAGAAAGCAGACGAGACTCCAGAACAACCTGCAGCCGAGACTCCTGAGAAAACTCCAACCAAGACCCCTTCAAAAACTCCAGCAAAGTCACCTTAAAGAAGACCTTTCCAAATCAATATCATTGCTTTTTACAATACGAATACATGAATGTAGCTGTATTGCTCATCTATAATTGATTGAGTACAAAATTCTGGGTTATTTTTGGTGAATATAAGGTATCGGGCCTTAGTTCAGGAACCAATCCCACATTTATAACATTGTTTCCTATGGGAAAATTGGTTCTGAGTTACAACGTTTCAACTTAAGACCTGGTTTTCGGGAACCAATTCTGTCATATGTCTGAGGACTGCCCATACACACCATTCTTCACAAATAGTAACCCTCACCAGAGACAGGCAGACCAATATCATTCACACATAGGAGCCCCACCACAGACATGTGTCCTCCTGTCCTCCAGTGCTGCACAAATATGCCATGCATGTACTTCAACCCACAATGCCCTGACACTACATGACTTTCAGATGACATGGAATGATCAATGTGCTGTATTACATCTTTAGAAAGAGTATAAACCTCCTGCAGAAACTGCCTCTACTGGAAACCCCTTTTCCTGGTGGTATTGCAGCTTCTCTTGATTACAAATGTTTAATTCACATAGGGAAGCAAAAAGCAGTATATGCTCCAGTCCCTCATTATTCATTTGTGTGAGTACACATGGCCCTATTTCACACAGTAATGCAGGGGCTCCAGGGGAAACTTTTATTTATGCCTCTTATTGGCAACATATTACTGCTTCTTCCTATGCACAGAGAAAACCTGGTCAGAGCAGCAACAGCTGCAGCAGTGAGATGGGGTAAACTGCTATTGCTATGTTGGCTTACCATCTTGCCAGTGAACAGACACAGGCTATGTCTATACTAGGGTTTTTCAGACCTTTGCTTCCCGATGGGTATAGCTCCACTAGCAGTAGTATCTGTGAAATTGTAGTGCAGAGACGGCATTTGATCCCTAACTTACTATCCTAAGGATCTGTGAAACTGCCAGGATTACTCACTCCCAGATGCTGACCATGCCAAGAAGGGACATGAACATATCTTCAGTGAATGTCTTTTGCTAGAGCATGGGATCTTTAGTAACCATCTGCTTTGCTGTCTGTACCTAGTGATGGGAAGACATAACACAAAAATCTCTTGGACTTTCACCAGCCAGTCCTCAGACAGCAGGCCAAATTTTAGAGTCTATCTGTTCCAGGGCATGAGTTCCTGGATTTTTATTACACAGCATTTTCCAGTTGGCCAGCTGGATTTCCCAGCTGCTCTTCGGTTCTAGTAATGGATAACGTGACCTTTCTTGTAATGTCATCTTGCTGCCTTGGCTCCCTACCCTTTTCTAAAGAAATGCCAAAAAATTGAAATACAGTTGACTATAGGCACTTTTAAACCAGTAGATGGCACAAAGAGTACAGGAATGCTATTGTAGAAGGCTTTGCTGTCGTAACCCAACCATCACTACTTACTCTCGGAAACCTGAAGCATTACACGCAACATAACTATCAACCCGTAATATCTTACTATAATGTGAATTATTAATTTCACCATGCAGAACCCTGATGTTAATTTCAGAACATTTATTCCATTATAACATCTAAAAAAATCTCTTGAATTTGAAATCAGATTGGTCAAATAAGTCTCCTTTTTTAATTTTTGCTTCGGAAAGTTCCTGTGAATAATTGGGATGGACATTAAAAAGGCTAGCCTGACCCTCCAATGCTGGGAGCGCAAGAATTTTATTCGACATATTCACAAGGGTTCATAGACAGGTTCGAGTAGCCATATTCAGTTTTCCAGTGTTAGACAAAATCACTAAGTGTTGATAAGTTTTCCATACTGAACAAGATAAATTCAGTCTTGTCATTTTTTTTGTTCAAACACAGACATCTTCCTCAAGAAATCTTTAGAATCCATTATGCCAAGAATTTCAAGAGAGGAAAGGATATAAAAGAGGCAGGGAAGGAAGGAGGCATGTACACAGAAAAGTGACCTAAGACAACCGGAATTGTAGAAAATAAGTTTGCTTACGGAAATTACATGACTTTTCACTTGAGTTTTTCAGTTTCTGCTCTCAAAAAGATGGGTCCACCCCCCATTTTTGTGTAGCAGTAAAACTGGGATGAGACTGAACTGACAAACACATCAAAATACTCCTGGGCTTTGGACTCCAAAAGGTCTTGACTGGAATTTGATGATGACCTGAACAAAAGCTCCAGATAAATATTATTTCACTTCGCTATTTTGGTGAGTGCCTTAACTACTAAGGTATATAATTGTGCTTACTCTCCTTTCTGAACAAGTAGAAACATTTAAACAAGAAAAACCTAGACTGTTCCTGCTCCAGAATAGTTGTAGGCTGATCGATATTAAGGGCACCTTCCGGAGACACATGGATTTGAATTTTTTGAGGCAAAGGAGGGAATTGAATCCAGCTTTCCCTGGATTAATTCTCTGTCTGCAGAAATACTGGCTTAAAGTGGGGCATCACCACTTCCTCTGGCCATATTTTGAGTAAAAAGATTAGCACACTCATTATTTTTTAAAAGAAAGGGCTTAGAGGCCTACTTTGAGGAGAAGTCTTAGGCCTGCAAATGTTAAGTGGAGGGAGCCCAGCTTGGCCAGGTGCCTGTCTAGCCTCCTCTTAAAGACCCCAAAGGTAGGGGAGAGCACCACCTCCCTTGGAAGCCCATTCCAGATTCTGGCCACCCTTACCGTGAAGAAGTTGTTTCTGATATCTAACTTAAATCTGCTCTCTGTCAGTTTGTGGCTGTTGTTCCTAGTGACTCTAAGATGTGCCCTGGTAAACAGAGCATCTCCTATTCCTTGCTGCTGCCCCATGATGAATTTGTAGTCGGCCACAAGATCCCCTCTCAACCTTATCTTGGCTGAAGAGATCCAGGGTCCTCAATCTCTCCTTGTAGGGCTTTGCCCTCAGGCACCCAACCAGATGAGTGACCTCCTCTGAACCCTCTCAAGGTTGTCCACATTTCTCTTGAAGTGCGGTGCCCAAAACTGAACACAGTACTCCAACTGCAGCCTGACCAGTGCCACCTAAAAGGGGAAGTATCACCTCCTTGGACCTGTTTGTCATGCACCTGCTAATGCACGATAAAGTGTGGTTGGCTTTACTGATCATTTCATCACATTGACGACTCAGGTTTATCTTGGAGTCAACAGTGACTCCAAGATCCCTTTCCACAGCTGTATTGCTGAGAAGGTCATTCCCCAGCCTGTAAGTATGCTGGTGATTCCTTCTCCCTAGATGCAGCACTTTGCATGTGTCCTTATTAAACTGCATCCTACTCTGTTCCACCCACTTTTCTAACCTGCCCATATCTGCCTGGATTTTTTCCTTACCCTTTGGTGCATTTACTTTACCCCATAATTTGGTATCATCAGCAAATTTGGACAGAGTGCTTTCTACACCCTTATCCAAATCACTGATGTAGACATTGAACAGCACCAGTCCAAGGACTGAGCCTTGTGGGTCTCCACTGCCCCCATCTTTCCAGGTTGATACCAACCCATCCACCACCACTCTCTGGGTGTGATCCCTAAGCCAATTTTCCATGCACCCAACGTTGCAGCTGCTCAGTTTGTCTATGAGAATATAATGAAATACTGTATTGAAGGTCTTCTTAAAATCCAAGCAGATGACATCCACCTCAATTCCTGCATCTAAGCATTTTGTGACCTGGTCATAAA